GCTGCAGTCTTACTCCCCCCCCACACGCACACACTCAGCCCATCATATCCTTCTTCCTACATACTGAGAAATCAAATATTCTATTTATCTTAAAATCCTCTTGTTCCTCTTTTAAAAAATAGACCTGTAACACCCATCCCTGCTCAATCAGCAATACCAACTTGTAAACAGTCCCACTAAATTGTTATCATTGCAGCGCGAATTTTACAGCATATCACTTTGTTTTCTATGTCAACCAATATTATTAGGCCTTTTTCTCCCTGGTCACACACTTATATCCTTTATTTAAAGGTTACAAGTAATCCAATAGCTTCAGCTGGCAAAGAAATGTCTGCAAAGAAAATCTCACCTCGTGCTTCTTCAAGGCAAATGTTCCTTAGACACTTGGTAAAAGAAGGTTCTTTTTCCATTATTCTTTGGGTTTTTTTTGGCAGAAAGATTGAGCCAGATGCTTCTCTTGAACTTATTTATTTCCCTCAAGCAGTCTCCAGCAATTGCTTCTGCTTCTAAATTATTTAAAGCCACACGACATCAACTGCCATCTGATCTTTTGTTGCATAGATCACTAATGGGCAAACAATCAAAGAGCTTAAGAATTCCACTTGAAAACATTTTTATGCTGTTTGCTTGCTCTGTCCAAGCCATCTTAGTGCCATAGCCTTGATGCAGAATTCATCTGCTATATCTCACTTACTCCAGGGGAAAGGCCAGATGTTGACACACATATTTCTAGCACCAGATCCTAACAAACAGCAGCTATCATTAGAATGAAGGTACCATAGATCTGAGTGCACATACAAATCTTCTTTTAAAATTTTGGTCCCTCCATGAATTAAAACTACCTCATCTATTTCATTCTCTGATTCACTAGAGAGGATTAAAACCTTCTTTTCCTATGTGACTTCTTACTGATGGTTCTGATTTCATTTTACCTCTTCTTTTAGAGAAGGGAGAGTATTTATTAAGCTTTAAAATGTAAATGGTAAAGAGGAGAAGGAGACAATTTCATACCTCCAAGGTAATATGGCAAAAACATTAGGTTCAGCATCTAGACTTTGAACCATTTAGCAAAATCAATATTAATGCTTTCACTGAGACTAGTAGTGGAGAGAATTAACCTTGGCTGAACTTTTCCCACCATGTTTTAAATTTTCCCATATAATTTACTTCTCAGAGGTTTTCTCATAGCGCCAATTTCTTCACCAAATCAATGAAGGTCCTGCATTGTGGACTGCAAAACAGGGTTGTTTATGTGTGGCAGCCCCTCCTGCTTATCTCCAGATGCTAAATCTAAACTAGTAGATATATTTTCCACCTATGACTTCTGCCACATCTTCAGTTGTTGTGGCCACTAAGTCACCAAGGTATTACAAGCAGGAGGAGTAATGGCCCCTGCTTCTTCCCTTTACAAACAAATAGGAGAGGCACACCTAGAAAAATGTATATTGCATTACAGTCCAGAAGTACTGTGGGCAAGGCAGAACTGTCATTTGCTGCTGCATGCTGAATGTGAGCCTTTATGGAGGGAGCAGTCTAATATATATGAAACAGGTGAGTCACAGCTGCATTAACACTTTGATAAAAACTTGAGATTAGCTCCTGTATTTCATAAAGTAGAAATTATCAAAAGGCACATTCATTGCATAAAGTCAGGAGCAAGAACAAACCACAATTGCTTGTAAGTGTTCCAATGTAAAGCTTTCTGAGTAATCATATGAAAAAATTGCTAGATCTCCTTGACAATGCCACATCATCTCATCTAGAGCTGTCATCGAAGCCTCAAAAATGGAACCTACAACGCTTACAGTTTACCAAAGAAAAGAGGCCTGTGTCAGGTTTTTGCAGCCATTTAACATCCATCAGCAAAAATATCCCAAATAATTTAAGAATAATTAACACACCTCAGAAAAATGCAAAAACTACTTTAACATTACTATGTGCTCATGTCACTGCACCGACTTCAAGGAGGCTTAGGCAGCCTAAAACTAGGGAGGAACAATGACCATCAGGGACAAGACATTCAAATCCATGGTACAGAACCACCACATACCAAATCCAAAGCCTTTGATCTGTCCCAGATGCTACTTTAAAACTCAGGAGAACTTTGAGCTGTGAAAAGCCAGGACCTTGAAAGCTACCACAAATTAATCCAATGCACCAGGTTCCTCTTCAGCTGAAGATGGATGGCTCCTGTCAGATAATCCAGCTGTGATCGGGCAGACAGGAACCCAGCTAGTTTCCTCTGCAGAGCAAGCATGCCATTCCAATGACAGTGCACTGCCATGCTCCTGTGGTGGATTTCAACCCATCCTGGGAAAATGGGAACATTTAGCCCATTTGTATGCTGCTGTTACTGTTCTGTATAATCAGTGGTAAAGCCTGCTATCCCAGAGCATGGCATGTGTCTAACAGCGGGGCAGTTTCTAGCAATGTTTGGTTCTATTTCTGACACAAGTGTACAAGTCTGTTATGAATCCCCAGTCATACTGGCAAGCACTGATATCCAAAATATCTATCTCAAGTAGAGCACTATAAAGAATGATTATTTTTTTTTTTAAACAAAAAGCAACAAAATCCCCACAACACATAGAGAGAAGAGACAGATCTGATTAAGAATACAGGCAGTTACTATATGCATCTTACTCATGTAGGGCATGGTGTTTACTTACCCACAGAACTGAAGAACAAAGACTTTCTATCTCTAATACGCTCCCTGCTGGGCCCAAATTAATGCAGGATTTTCTTGCTACACTGCTGTAGCTGTAGCCTGCCCTGCCTGCCTGTCTCTCTCAAGCTAACTAGGACAAATCAGGATTATCAAACACAAATAAAGATCTGTATGTGCTATCTCTCAAAGCTGGCATCTTTCAGTTTTGTCTTCTCAAACAGGCTCAGACAAAGATTTGTCATACCACACAAAGCACAGAAACCCCCCTTTCCAAATACCACTGCTGGCAAAAGCAATGAACCTTCAGACTCTGGGGCTCCCCTTGAGCCCTGGCAAACAGCTCTAACAAGCCTGCTGCCAAGAAACATGGTTCAGGCAGGAAAAGGCAAGGGGACTGAGGTCAAGCCTTCTGCAAGGCTGTTTTGTGCATGCTGGTGGCACTCATCCCCAGACATAGCCCTCCATCTGCAGAGAGCCCCTCAGACCTGCTGTCTTTACAAGGGCTTCCTCCAGCTCATCACACTGAACAGCTCCTTGTCCAGGCCACCAGTAGCTCCAGGAAAATCTCTTCCTCTCTTCTCCATCTGCCACACCTCATGCTCTTTGCTCACAGGCTGAGCCCTCCATCACATATCTGCTCCTCACACGCTGTACCTACTACTGCAGTCAGTGCCCCAGCAACATGTTTGGAGAAACTATCGGCCTTCTGAGTTAGTGAATATCTGCAAATTTGGACACTGGCTATACTCAGCAATGACTTTTATTTGAATAGCAAGAGGCAAAATCTTCATCCTTTCTTTAAACTAATTCTGCAAGATGTTAGAGTCGTCTTGCTCCAAAACTAGGGCCATAAACACCAGCCAGCAATGCCCATACCCTAGTCTGACCAAGCAGCATATAATTGCCCTTTGCATTACCAGTGTTCAATATCCTTGAGAGCAGAGTGGAAATCATTTAAATATTGCACAAATACTTTTTTAAACCATATTTTAAGTTTATTCTGCTAGTGTTCTGGGTTTTTTTTAGCTTATAGATGATACCGAGACCAAATCTTCAGGCTTCCCTCTACAGCCGTGTAAGTTTTATCAGAAAGGAAGCAGAGTTATTCACTCAATTGGACATCTCCAAAAGCTTCAGGTTTAAGCAGACCTCAGAGACTATAAGTTGATAGGGGAAAGGGGAATTCTCACAGTCTGTACCCCCAGGACATTAAGGATATGTGAACTCTAATCTTCCTATTCATCCACCTCCACACTGCCTAATCAATCCAGAAAGGTACAGGAGATAAAAGATGTCATGACCCCTGCAAGGGAGGTCAGAGTGTCTTTCTAAACTAGGCAAAAGCCTGGAGCTGATCATATCCAAGGTGAGCATCCTGAGATAAAGCATCCTCATGAGAAGCTAGGAACAGCCAATATGAGTCTTAAAATTTGTGTGACTTGAGTCTTAAAATTTGAGTGACCTTAAAAGCAAGTCACTCTGCTTTTCCCAGAATGGCGCATAGTGAATGCAGGCCCAAAGGGAAGTTCATTAAACTGAAGGTGCTCAGTGAAATTTAGATGCACAACTGAAAACTGCTAATTCACCTGATGCTTCTTCCTCAGTGCCTTATAAGTAGATTCCAGTGTCAAATATAACCTTGAGCATTCAGGTTAATTTATTTAAACAGACATTAAAGGAAATTGTTAAGTGAATGCATGAAGTCTGAGATACCAAACAGTTCCTCATTCTTTCCCTCTCCTTTCATCACCTTGAATGTTATAAGGACTAATGATTTAATTTTATTAAGAGCTTTGAAGGTGAGAAGTGTTGGGTAATTACTAAATATGCTTCTTCCTTGTTCTAATTTCCAGCTCCTCTAGCACCAGTCTATCCTTGTTTGACCCTAGCCAAGTGCAGCTATGTCATTACCTTCAATTCTATGGCTTATTTTCTCCCAAAAGTGTTATTTTGAAACACCCAGAGCTTACCAGTTTGGAGAGTCTTCTCACACTGCAGGACTAACTTATATGGTCTCCTACAGGCAAAGCTTCCCTGCTTATTGCTCCTTTAACTCATACCACTGGTTTTCACGCTCATATGGAGACCACATGATTTTCAAGCAGATTCAGATGAGAGTAAAGCCAGTAGAGGATAGTTAACAAGGTGTGGGGAGGGAGAGAGAAGAATAAGAGACAGAGGATGTTGTACACCAGCCCAGCAAAATTCCTGTAACAGATGCTTCCCATCTGCCCGTGTAATACCGTTTCTGTAATGCCCAGTTAGTCATGTAGCAGCTCAGGCTCTGAGGGACATATTCCCTGTGGGTTAGCACACTATCGTTTCCAGCTACCTGCTTCATCTTCCTGCTGGACATCACCTCCCAGAGCACAGAAGGCTGTGGGGTGTGAAGGCAGCCCCAGCTCACAGTCCTGTGGCTTGGTGCACATCCACGTTCAGCAGGAGCTTGAGCTGGTGCACCCAGAACTGCAGTAACTGAGGCATCAATGTGTGTTCCCATCTGTTGTTCCTGTTACCAGGGTAATAATCTCCATCAAAGGTACAAGGCTTGAAGCTGGGAGGGTCACTTAGATACATGACTGTAAATGTGTTTGAGCTAAGTTACCTATGAACCTTCTGCCAAGAGCAGGAAAAGAAACCCTAGGAAGAAATGTTCAGGAATTTGTTGGAGCTTTCAGGATGTACTACACACATCTGCTCAGTCTTTTAGAAAAGCCCATCCAAATTAATTGCTGTGAGCACTCCGCAATAGTAAGCCAGGCTGAAGCCTTGCACTATGGTGCCACCACAGGTCATGTGCAAGGAGAACCACATACCAAGCCAACATAGCCATAAATCTTCATTAGGATACTTGGGTAAGGGTGAAATGGGAGGTGGGATGCATGGGGTCAGCTGGCACTATGCCATGTAAGAGGCGATCCGTGGCAAGATACCAGGCATTGTCCCAAACTTACATCTCACAAAGCAGGTCTCTACTGCAGAAGCCAGTTTCAGTGGGAGCTGTACGTTCAGCACTAGATACAGTTGAAAGCTCAGCATCAGCCACAGCACCAAGTTCAAATAACAGGTCTAAGAGATCTGAAAGTTCACCGATGATTTACAAAAGCCTCTTTCTCAGAGCAGTTACCTGAAAGATTTAGAGCTGGCTACAGAGAAACTTGAGACAAAACACTGCTCCCAGGCACCTTCATGTTAGCTCTAACATTATGTTGCAGCCCCAGCCCTTCTCACTAGAAACACAAGGACAAAAAAAATGCCCTTTCCTTTCCCTTCCCCCCCCCCCAAGCAGATTTTTCACTGATAAACCTCAGCATGTTTGCAAAATTTCCAGCAACATTGTGAGTGTTGGTGATATATCAAAGCCGAACTGGAAAAGCAGAACTCTGCAACCAGTTGAAGAGTTTCTAGCTTTAATTATGGAAGAGGGAGCAGATTGAAGGGAGTGGGTGGAGGGAAGTCTGGGAACATACAGTACTGTGCACTATGAAACGTTGCAGGGAAGAGGAAGGCTGAAGGGCAGCCCCACGTATTTTAGAGATTTAACAGTAAATGTTATTGCTCTGCACATGTGAAAGACATAACATGTATTTTTTTTCCAGTCTAACCAGCTCAATTCATATTGAGGCAAACAAGGAAGAATAAGTATTAAACCTCCATAAGAGACACACAATGACTCACAGTTGTGTATCTGAGATGAAACAAAAATGGCAGTTGCCTCGAGTTGCCTTTGCCACACAAGGGACTCCTCAACGTTTAAAGCAAAAGATGGGTACGGCACACTACCTTAGTCCACAGCGCACAGCTGAATATACAGACACCTTCACTTATCAAATGGTTAAAAAGAAATCACTATTTTATTTAATTTCCTTTTTGCAGGAACCTTTCTGCCTACATTGTTTAGAATCCAGACCCCCTGGCACCATTGCTTTAGCAACACTGCCATCCTTTCAATTGATTTCAGCAGGAGGCCCCACACACATCACAATATCTAAGATGTTGGATTGCAAAGTCATAGCCTGAATTTCCACAGGGAGATGGTCAGAAAATTAATTGGTGTTCCTTTTGCCAGTGGAAAAGTTTACATTTCTCAGCACCAGAGTTACAACACAAAATCCAAGTGCTCTAATTCACAAATTCTGCTGTAATTTCTCATGTAAGTTCTTCCGCGCTCTCTTCCTCTCTGGGGAACAGGCAACACTTCTCTGAATACACCAAAGTCCTACGCTGCATCACTAGCAGTAGAAAACACCCATGGCTACAATGCACCATGAAATATGTCGTCTGACAAAAGAGCTCAATCCATAGAAAAGAAACCCAAAACATACCACACACACAAAACCCCAAACGCAATAGGCATGAGACATCCAAACTAAAACAACCCAGAGGTCAGGTTCATTGTAAGAACCCCATGCTTTCCAGAGAAGCTTGGTTTCTTGAGCATCCCCTTTCCATCCAAACAGATATTGATGACAATGAACTAAAAATTGAACTCCTCGCCCTAATACCATGATTTAATTTGTTGACTAAAGCACAGTCTAGTCTCTTTGAAAAGAGAAAAAGCATCGTATATGATGCAGTGCCATTTGTGACCATAGCTGTCTTTGGAAATCATGGACCTGACCAGTTATTGACAACCAGCACTGTTTGTAGGCATCAATGCCCAAATTTCTCAGAATCTGAGCAAGTGCTTCTTGGAGCTTATCACTGTACCACACACAAAACAGAAACAAGAGGGGCTCTTGCAGAAGTCCAGAGGAAAGCAGAAACCAAGCCCTGCGAGGTGGTAGACACCAGAGGGGAAGCAGGCGTAACGGTCCAGGAGAAAAGAGAAGTTTGACATGCTTTCCATCTGGAGCAGGAAACTGCTCTCCTACCCGATTGCAACAGCTTCTGAAGCTGCAATAACAAAACGAGAACTGACAAGAATATGGAAATGGAGGAAAGACAACCCTCTGACTCTTGTCACACTTGAGCAGATAAACAACTGCAGGCACTAACTCTTTGTCCCAAACAGATCATGCAGATGCAGAGGCTGCTTTAGTGGTGTGAAGAACAAAATCCATCAAGGGACACAGCTGTGGAAAATACCAGTGCTTTTTATCTCCCTCCTTTAAACAGTGATTTTAATTTAACAGACCTTAAGACTCAAGAGCTCCTTTTGGACCACAGTGATAATCCATATGCCTGCAGAGCCTGGCTTAAAGTCCCAGCTTCTCCCAGCACTTTATTTCATGCTCCCCTCTAAGTCACCCAGGACTGCTCTCTGCTAGGTGCTACAGCTGTTGGGCACTGCTGGAAAAACAGGATCAGACTACAGAGATGCTAGGTCAGCCCCAGTGTCACAGAGACATTCGTGACGAGTTACACCACAGCAAAGAAAAATTCTCCCAACCTATTATTTTCTATTCAGCGAGAAGATTACCTCAAGCAACAATAACTTAAAACCAGAATTCTATTCCCAAGTCCGTGCAAATGGGGGAGACTACAGCTATTTCTGCACTTGCCACAGTCTCTTCTCTGGTTTCCACAGAGAAGAAAGTTGGATGCACAGACTGGCTGGAAAGCCACCATGAGGGACAAACCTATGCCTAATTTAAGCCGTAAAGCTCAGGATGATATGTTTCCAAACTGGCAAAATCCTTCTCCTCCAACCATGGTTCTGGAACACTTTCACATGCCTTTGGTTGTGGGAGCAGAACTGTTAGTTGTCACTGCTGCCTGTCACCAGACAGTGACACCTTAGCAAGCCTCCAGGCATAGCATAGAGACTCATGAAGGCTAGCAAGGAAAAAGGTAGAAGTGAGGGGAAAGCAATTTTGTTTGTACAAGAGTTTTGGAGCTTGATGTGGATAAATGGATAGTGTAGGAATTAGTAAGAGCCACATTCATATCAGTCATGGGCTGTAGGGCTTCCCTTTGACTACAGTCTCTCAGAAAGGGAGAAGAAATGTAGAATATTTCCTGGGTTATAAATATCACATGATGGTGGACCCAGCATGAAATACTGCAGGATCTCAGTTACACATTTTATTTTAATCCTTGGACTTCTCATCCCACTTCAGGATTCAGTTTTGCAATCAGCCTCACCAAGCCATCTTGCGATACTAATGAATTAAAACCCATCATCATAACCAATTGCTCATCAGTGCTGTGGAAGGAAGAGTGATCCAAGATCTCGGGAAGAGCAGACGTGCTAAGTCTTCACTGCTGAATGAGTACTAACTATCCACCACTGCGGAGAACTTGCCTTCCCTGAACTTGGCTCTTTTTCACCACACAGTAGGTTTTAGCCATATATACGCTATCATCTGAACATGCTTCAGATTGAAGTGGCAGGAAGGAGAGAAGTAGTTATTAAGCACGGGGTATGGGAGCTTTGAGCACATCTTGGAGATTTTTAAGGAATATGAAATCTGGTATTTACAATACTTCCATATTTTATCGCTGTCTTCTATACAGTCAGTATCTCATTAAAAATGCAAATTTCTGTGTCCAAACAGATCCCCACCAAGATTTTGCTTTCAGCATTGACCATTGTTCTGATGTCTCAACCCACACCTTTAACATCAGAGCTGCAATCTTGCTAAGTAAGTAAATTGGTATTTTCTCACACCATAAACATGTACCTCATGTGTGAGTGCTGGTATTAAGCAAGCAAGGGTGACAACCTCCTATGAAACAGGAAAGGGCTTCATGTCTGAGAAGCTTCAAAACCTGTGCAGGGCTACAGAAATGTCAGTTCTGATATCAGCTTGGTCTTAGACTATGTATGTCACTCCAACCAAGTCATATCAGCCCTCAGCCTCTATTCCTCTCCTACCCTTCATTAGTACATATGGATACCCAAGGTGGGGGGTGCTCTAAAGCTTGTCTTCACAGCCAAATCTTCTGGGGAGCATCTTGCTGAACGAGACAGCTACAGCAGCCACAGTCTCATGGCAGCACCAGCAGTGCTCACTAAATTGTCAGGGCTGACCCTTGCAGGTGGGAGACTGAAGGAACTCCCACAGAGCAAGGTGGAGACATCTCTCTGTCCCACCTGGGCATGCGAGAAGGATGCTAGGAGAGTGCTGGGGAAGCATTAGCCTGAGGCAACACAGTCATGCCATCAGCTCGGCACCTGTGCTAGCTGAAATTATACCCTTCAGCACTTGACTGATCAGCAGTAAAAGGTCAAAAGCAGAACTGCATTTGAGATAATGGGCTGGGTGTGCAAGCTAGTATTAGCCATAGCTTGCTTTGTGACCCTTGCACAGGAAAGCCACCTTTTTGCAACCCTGTTGGCCTCATCAAGAACCTCTACTACCAGAGCATAAATATGAGAGCACTGCTGTATGCTCCTAGTGCTGAAAGTAAGTTTACATGCCAAGTGTCTTTTAGCACTGGGAGTGCTTCCTTGCATACAAAAGGTCTCCCTCCTGTGAGACATGCTGCCCTTTTGCCTAGGAGCAGCAGTTTTCAGGTGGCTGCAAAGTTAAGCATGCCTGCAAAATCACATTACAGGCATTTGCAAATACTTTACCAACTCAGACTACAGAATCTCCCTCTAAATCCAGTACCCTCAC